CAGCGCCCCCAATCACCCCCCCCCGCTGCAGGTCCGGTGCAGCGCCCGGCAGCACCTGCAGCGACACCTCCTGCACCAGGTGCCGCGTGTTGGGGTCCTCGAAGGGGACACTCTGCTCAGGGGTCCCATCGGGCAGCAGCTTCCCCAGCAGTGCCCCCTTCTCGCGGATCTTCTTGGTCAGCGCCCGGGTGTCGACCCCTGCGGGGCCCAGAGACGTCGCCCCGGCCCCCCACACGGAGCGGAGCGGCCCCGCGGGACCAACCCCGCACCGAGAGCAGCCTCATGATGGGCTCCCCATCCCCAGGGTGCCGGCCCATGGGCACCCCCAGCCCCAKCCCCCAGGGCCAGCCCCATTGCCCAGCACGTCCCAGCCCCTGCCCCACAGCCGCCCACATCCCCCAGCCCCACCTTGCAGCCCGGGCACGTTGTGCTCCTTGAGCCACTGGTGCAGGGAGCGGGCGGCACTCCAGTGGCTGGGGGTCTCGGAGCACTCGCCCACCACCAGGGCGGCCACGTGGATCTTGTTGGACTCGAACCACTGCGGGAGGGGACGGGGGGTGGGGGACATGAACGGCCGGGGCGGTGCCGCCTCCCAGCGGGGGGACCCCAGCCCAGCCCCTGCGGCCGAGGGCGGCCGACGTGGCTGCTCCCGGCAGCACCTGGACTTTGGCCGGAGCGACCCCGGCGCCAGCCCAGTCGGGAGGCGCCAGCGCCGCCTGCCCGGGACTCCCTGTGCAGTGCCGGGGTCCCCCGTGCAGCCCGCAGGTGGGGACGGCCACGCGGCTGCAGCTGCACGTGGTGGCAGCGCGCATGGTCCTGCAGGCGGCACCGCGCAGGGCACCACGGATGGCACCACGCAGGGCACCGCGCGCAGCCCTGCAGGCGGCACCGCGCAATGCAACCCCCGTTCGGGGTTTCCCTCCGGGAACGCGGCAGGACACGGGCCACGGTGCTGTCCGGCACCTCCGGCGCGGCTGCGGGCGCCTGCCCTGCGGGGCGCCACCTTCCTGCCTGCGCCCTGCCGGGCACCGCGCGAGGCCCTGCGCCCACGCACGGCCCTGGCACTGGGTGTCCCACATCGTCCTGCTGCCCCATGGTRCGGTGCACACACGCACAGCCCCACATCTGCATGGCGCGCACCACTCCGCGCACCCCTCACCCTGCTGAGGCCGTAGGGGTCTTCCTCATCCCGGGGCACCCCGTAGTTGCCCACGAGCGGGTAGGTGAGCACCAGGATCTGCGCCTTGTAGGAGGGGTCCGTGAGGGCCTCGGGGTATCCGACCATGCCGGTCTGGAAGACTGCGCACAGCCGCACTCAGGGCACGGAGCGGCCCGGCCCGGCCCCGGCTGCAGCCGGGGCTGCGGCTGAGAGGGCGCGGGGCTCCACGGGGCCCCGGGGCTGCAGCCCCGCGGGACGGGCCCCTGCACGTAGCCCCGCGGCGGGCCCAGACCTGCCCGCACGGGCCGTTCTGGCCGGGACCCGCGCTGGGGCCGGGGGCGCGGCCCATCCCGGCCGCACTCACCCACTTCCCCGACGGCGGTGGCGGCGGCCCCGAAGAGGCGGCCCCGCAGCACCGAGCCGTCCTGCAGCACCAGGCAGCCCATGGCGGAGGCTCCACGTGGATGCGCGCGCGGGCCCGGCGGCGGCACCGAGGAGGCGCGAGCGGCGGCGGCGGCAGCGCGGAGGATCCGGGGCGGGGCCGCGCCGGCCCAGCCCCCGGCGCAGGGAGGCGGGACGGCACCGGGCGCGGCGGGCCCGGCTCCCGCACCTGGGGGCCCGAGCAGCCGCCCGGGGGGCCCGGTCCGGGTTCCGCTGCTGCGGAGAGCGGAAGGCGTCTCCCCCGCTCCGAGCCGCGGCGGGACTCGGCGCTGCCCGGCCCGACGGCGGAGCAACCGCCCCGCCCCGAGCCGCGGGTCCGGGCCCCGCGCGGGAGGATATGGCGGGAAGGCTCCATCCTGAACACGGATGCGGAGGCGCCGCTGATGGAGCGAGGGCGGTGGGCACAGAGCCAGCACGTAACGGACAACGAAAAGATGGAGCAGCCGCGAAACAACGCAGGAGTATTCACAGCATCACTGCAGTTCTGTTTTTGCACCCAGCCAGCCAGGGGAGAGCGCGAACGCAGTCCCCCACTACCACAAATTATGCAGTCGAGTTTCCCGCATTTGGGGAAATCGCAGGGGTCAGCACACCCGGAGTGCAAGGGAYGAGCCTCGCCCTGGGAAAACCACCTGCCTGATCATGGTGTCTCCCCTGCCAGGTAAGTATGAACACVVCCCCCACAACACACCVCCACAAACACGCACACGCACTCACAACGCACGGACACGCCGCGCGCAAACACCCCCGCGCCGACACCGCGCACCGACACCCGCCCCGACACCACCCGCCTCTCCGCGCGCGGGACCGCCCCGCGCGACCCCGGGAAGCCGCCGCGCCGCCCCGCGCCCGAGTGTCCCGGCGTGCTCCGCGCGGCGCCTAATCTGCATGGACACGCCTCCACCTCCCGCCTGAACCTGCCCCACTCGCTGGGTTTGGGCCACGCGCGTGTCCCGGCGTCCCTGTCGCGGGCCCTTATCTACATAGCTCCGCCTCGTCGCATCTGGTCCCGCCCCCTGTCCCTCGGCCGCTGCCACCTCCTCTCGTCCCTCCGTCAGGACTCTCATCTGCATAGACACGCCTCCGCCGCCCCCTCCCCGCCAGTGGCTGGCGCGCACGCGCAGAAGCGCCGCGCTGCGGGGCCGGTGGAGGCGGTCGGCTCTCCCTAGTGCTGCTCACCCAAGAACGTGGAGATTTCACGCATTTGTAGAGACACGGGCTCCTTATCTCTGCTCGAGATGAACTAAGGAGGGAAAGAGCAGGAAGAAGGGAGACGGGAAAGAAGGGAGACRGGAGAGGGAAGAAGGGAGAAGAAAGAGCCCGCACTAACTCCTGCACCTGCCCAGGGGCCAATGCCCTTTCCTTCCCTCGGTCGGAGGCCGATGCAGGAGGCTCCTCAGGGTTGAGAGCCCCCCTATGGCCCTGCCCAAGCGATGGTTGTCCATCTCTGCACTACGTGCTGGCTGAGACCCCCCACTGGAGCAGGGAATTCCTGCACGGACACCCAAAACGGCTGTCTGAAGGGTGCGTTGGAACAAGTCGTGCCAGCAGTGAATGCAATTCATGGTTTAGAAGGTGACCGGACCGACAGTGAATCTGGTCCTGCCGGCATCGGGCTGTGTTCCCACAGTACTAGGTATCCCTGTTACGGGACAAGTTCAGCTGCTTGCATCCCTCTACCCTTTGAGGATCCATGCTGGGATGCGAGGGGATTCATCTCTCCCCAAGCCCCACCTCAAACTGCAGCATCTCTACATGCATTAAATTCCCTGGAATGCTCACATATATCCATTCTATTTCCTGGTGCTAATTCCAGGTCTCCCAGCCTGGTGCACGTGGGGGCTCTRTCCCTYCGAGGGTCTCTCGTGGTCTTTTGTGCCCCCCGGTGCTTGTCTTTGGGGTCCTTCGACAAACTCTGATAACTCAGAGCTCCATCCATGGCCACATTCAGGCTTGGGGCGCCACGTTCTGGCCTCGTTGCCCTTGAAGATACCGAGCTCCCTTATCTCCATCCTCAGCTGCCCTCTGTCCTTATCGCTCCTCTCCAGAGGAAGCTGCAGGGGCAGCAAGAAATTCCCGCGTGGGGCTGCTGACAATAGGGCAGCGAGTCAGGCGGGTGCTGCCCGGCTGGGCGCAGAGGGCGGTGCCGGCGGAGCGGGAGGGAGCGCGGGGCCCGGCCAACCTGCGGCAGCGGCTGCCCGGGGCTGCGGAGCGAGGGCGGCGGGGCCGCGGCGGCCGGGGGCGGCTCCAACCGAGCTACGGCTGCGAGCACCGGGCCCGCCGAGGGAGCGGGGACGGGGCGAGGGACAAGGGGGCGTGTCTATGCAGATGAGAGATGCTGGCCTCAGGTCCGCGGCGCGCGCAGAGAAGACATGAGTGTGTCCATGCAGATTAGGCGCCGCGCGGAGCACGCCGGGACACTCGGGCGCGGGGYGGCGCGGCGGCTTCCCGGGGTCGCGCGGGGCGGTCCCGCGCGCGGAGAGGCGGGTGGTGTCGGGGCGGGTGTCGGTGCGCGGTGTCGGCGCGGGGGTGTT